GTCCTAGAGACAGTGACATGATCTGCCCAGCCCTAGAAGACCCCATGTTTCCCACTCTGCTTGGGGTAGAAACTGCAAAAACACAAATACACACATATATTTCCAAGTACTGGGCATAAAAGAAGTCATCGGGAAGATTCAAAATAAGCTTATCAACTTTTAATACAAGCTGATAGATTTATTTTAAAAGCTTATGAACATTTAAAGACTATCTCGAAGTAAAAACACAAAATTAAAAACTTCAAGAGAGAAAATGGTAAACTCTTGAGAATTCACCCACAGACCCTCCCCTGAGAAACACTGCTGTCATCTTCCTACTCCCAAAATAAACAGTACCTCCTTTATGTGTCTGAGTCAGATTCCCTGAGTCAGGACTATCTCTGACACTTCTTAATGGGAGAAAAGCCATATTTATAGCTAATGAATAAAATATTAGCCAACTCTGCTAAGTACTGACAGAGACCAGTGCTGATTGCTGCCCTGGGACTAACCTGCTTTGCTCCCACAAATAGGGGCTGCTTATTCAAAAGAGATGCCAGCCAGCTTGGTTTGCATTAAAGAGTGATGACAAAGAATAATCTCCAAAGAGCCATCTCACTGTTGGGAACTAATGAAACATTAATATTTCAGAGGTAACAAGGGATGGAGAGGCCAAGGTTTAGAGAAATTGAGACTCATTGAGTTTCTTTTGTGTGTTCCATGCTTGATATAATTTATCTCACTTGGCCTTGATGGCAATAAAGTAAATAATAATATTGTGCCCACTTTACAGATATGTATATCAAAGATCTGAGCTGTTAAATGGTTTGTCTAAGGTATGGAAGAGGGGTTTAAATCTGCGCCAATATGACTTCAGAACCTGCACTTGTTCCTTTATACAACGTCACCTCTCATATTTTAGACACAAAGAGGTCCAGAAATGAAAGATGGCTATTGTAAGTGTGTTGGGTTAAGATGATAAAAATATGTATACATAGAAATACAGCTAGAACACAAAGACTCCTATTTTATACATTATGGTTGAAAATAATGAGAGTTTTAATTTAGAGAAGAAAGTAGTCCTTAGATGTTTAAAAAATTGTCACATAAAGAGGGGGTAAATATGATGCCTGTTGTACCAAAGAGTATTAGACATATGGTTGAGAGTTTGGGTAGGGAGGTCAATTCTTTTTCCAGATCAGCTTGAAGGACTTTGAAATAAATAAATAAACAAAGCAGTGTGTGTGTGTGCGTGCACACGTGTTATTTTATTTTGTACACTGCTATATTTTCAATGTATGTAAGTATTTGGGCCATAGAGGATGCTCAATAAATACATGTTGAATTAACAGAATTGGCTCTGATGAAGAAAAATATAAGACTCTCCAGGTGTTGAGCTCCTTGTGAATGAATTTCTCAGCATAGAAATTCTCAGCATATGCTAAAGTTCTCAGCATAGATTCTTGCCCTTCTGGGAGGTTATATAATAGCTAAGCAAGGTTTATTGAACACTCTCTAGATGCTAGGCACTGCCCTAAACACTTTAAGATCATTATTTTATTTACCCTCACCACACTAGTATGAGTTAGGTAATAACAACATCATTATTTCACAAAAGTAGAAACTGAGCAGATCTTAAGATATAGACCTTTAAGATGATCAAAATACATATCCAAAGAAATACAGCTAGAACACAAAGACTCCTGTTTTATACATTATGGTTGAAAATAATGAGAGTTTTAATTTGGAGACGAATGTAGTCCTTAGATGTTTTGAGAATTTTGCAGAAGTTTTTTTTTTTGTTGTTTTAAGGTTTGCAGAAGTTATGGCATTTTCCCAAAGTTACACAGGTGTTAAGTTCTAGGGATTGGATCAAAACCCAGGCTTTCATTAACTTTGTGCTATGTGGCCTGGCTACATCAGATAGTCAGCACATCCCCTTCCAGTAATGAGAGCCTACACATACTATTTCTAATCTAATCTCTGAATTGAAGATTAATACCAAGAACATGGATGATGCTCTTCCTAAACAAGCACCAGTTTCCATGGAAGTTACAGCTAAAGCTATCACACAATATGGTATTTACTTGTTCAGACTAACTTATCATTGGAGAGATAAAGTCTGAACTTTTTACCATGGCACTTAATGCATTTTAGGATCCATCCTCATCTCTTATTTTTGTACATTAGAGTATTTTGTCTGTGTATTTCTTTCTCTTTAGAGTCTCCTTTCGTCTGCTTATTTCCTTCCCAAACTCCTTGCTTTCAAACATGTTGTATCTCTATATTACAAATCGATTGGTCTGTCTATCTGTTTGTCCATCTGCCCATTCACCCATCCACCCATCAACTACATCTCAGATCAACTACATGTCAGAACGGTGTTTGTATCAGGGAAAAATACCCTGCCTCACCACTTTATGGTCTCACAAAAGAGAACACATAAGTAAACCTATCTAATTCCTACCTATTATGCAGGATACAGCTCCAGTTCTTTCATCTTCCACGAAGTGGCCCTAAGTTTTCTGGCCCCTCTTTATCTCTTTTGTCTTTCACTCTTTCAGCGCTATGGCCCACATCATAATCACTGTTTAGTGAAACCTCATTTCAGAGGGAGGTTAGGTTCCAAAATCAGCATGAAAGGACAGGACAGTCAAAATGGCCCCCGTAAATCCCTCAGGAAGATGGTACCACGTGGAGATTGACCAATGGGCCATCACAGCAAGTTTATCCTCCGTGTTGAAACAGATTACTGTTTCTTTGATTTAAATGCCAGAGAAGAGGTCAGCTTAGATTAGAACCAATCTGTAGGAAAAACATGTATCTAGTTAAACACAACAGTCACCTTACACTCAAACCTACTGAGATGTTCACCATATGAAAGAACCAAGAGCAACTGAGAGCACAGCAGAGGTACACTGTCCCTTCAAACTGTCATACTGGGACCTATGTTCATTGAGTAACTGGCGCAAACCATTGCCTGAGCCATTTATTTTCTCTCTTTCACATAAATGCACATAGAACATATCTTCACTGACCTGTCTTGTGCTGTCATTTAACTTTTTCAAAGGGACGACAAACCCAGGAGTTCCCAGAGCACATGGTGTCTAACACCACACTACCAGTTCCTCGTTGAATAAGATTGTCTTATCAATTCCCTGTTGTACAAGATTCTCTGTGATGTGGTTCCTGTTTACCTCTACAATCCATTTCTATACTTTCTACACTCTAACTGTACTTATTTCTAGTTTCCACAAATTAAACATGTTGCTTCACACCTCCTGCCTCTACCTACAGTGTCCTTTCCCATGCTATGCTGCAAATATGCATCTTCAATACTCATTTCAAATGTTTCCTCTTCAGGGAGAGGTTGACTGGTTCAATACCCCATTCTTCACTCCTTCCTGCATCCCTGCTTTTTGCCATGAAACTTTCAGCACCCTCCCACTCTGATTCTGGGCTTGGCCACATTACTTGCTTGGACCAATAAGATGTTAGCAACTGCAACACAGCAAGGGCTTGAAAAGTGCTGGTGTGATTGGGCTTGTCTTGCTTGTTAGCAGTGACTGTAGAAGGGTGTCCCTGGGCTAGCTTGCTGGATGAGGAGAGACAGATGGTGCCAAGTCAAGGTGCCCAGCCACCCCAGCTAACACAATCCTAGATCAGCCAACTGTAAGCTTCCCCCCAACATGTGAGCCACCACAGCCAGTATCACAAAGTTGCCTAGACAGCCTGCAGTCTACTGCAAACATATGAGCAAACCCAGCTGACCCCAGCCCAGATCAACTGTACCCCACAGACTCATGTATGCTATGAAAGTTTTATTGTTATTATGTAGCATTACTCTAGCAATGGAGAACTGATACTTCTTTAAAGACTTCTCTGACCCTCCCAAGGAGATGAAACAACTTCCTCCTTAGTGCAGCCTCTGAATCTTGTCCTTTCCTCTATTACAAAACTTAACACACCATTGTAAACATTTGATAAAGGAATAAGTAATATGATTATTTGTTGTTAAGTATGGATCTTCTTCTAAGACTAACCTTTTTGAGAACAGGGAACATCTTCGTGAGGGAGGTGAGGTATATAAGCAATGTGGTTATGGCACATCTGGGTTGGAATCATGGCTCACCAAGTGGTAAACTTCCTGAGCACAAGTGTCTTGAGCTATAAAATGTGAGCGGCGGCCAGGTGCGGTGGCTCATGCCTGTAATCCCAGCACTTTGGGAGGCCGAGCTGGGCGGATCACAAGGTCAGGAGATCAAGACCATCCTGGCTAACATGGTGAAACCTCGTCTCTACTAAAAATACAAAAAAATTAGCTGGGTGTGGTGGCGGGTGCCTGTAGTCCCAGCTACTTGAGAGGCTGAGGCAGGAGAATGGTGTGAACCCAGGAGGCGGAGGTTGCAGTGAGCCGAGATCACGCCACCGCACTCCAGCCTGGGTGACAGAGCCAGACTTTGTCTCAAAAAAAAAAAAAAAAAAAGTGAGCAGCAGCAGCAACTGTGCAGCCCTCTTGAGACAACAGAATGAAAAATGTGTATAAAGTAGCCAGCTGAGTGCCTGACACATCAAAGGTCTCAATAGATATTATTTGGTTAAGTGAGTTAATGAACTGACACTTCTATGGCAAAATTCTTAGAAGGAGTGCACCAAAAATAGAACATCCTTTATCCTATTACTGATTCCTGATATCACACCAGCTGCCCAGAGCATTCTTTAGCCTCTAATTCAATTTATGACTATGAAGGGTGATGTTTCAATTTACTGAACCCAACTATATAATTTAAAAAGTACCTGTGAGGACTATCTTTGCAACTTAACGTCAGCACATGTTAAATACAATTTATTTAATCTTTTGTTTACAACAAAAGTTGCAGTTTGCTGCTTATAAATCACTCCTTCTGAAACCCTTCTGAGAAATACAGATTCTTGGTTTGTGCTAATTGCCTGCTCGGGAGCAGGCTAAGTAGCCCCTGTGATGGGCTACGTTCCTACACAACTAAGGAGCATGTACTTACCTCTCTGGAGGCAGGGAGCCCTCTTCCACAGTCACTGCAAGAGAAGGAGGCAGAGTGAAAAAGAGGTGTTTGCAGCAGCCTGGTTAAAGTGAATGATGCTTGTGCTATGACGTGACCCCACAGGTAATGTGGAGAATGGAAGCTTGCCTATGCCTGAAACATCCCTTACCTCCACCCCAGCACCCAGGGGATACCTGTTCCTGCATTGCAGTACTCACCCACACTTTACAGTACAATTTCTTATTTATGGATACAATCTCTTGCGTTAGACTTTGACCTCCTTAAAGACCAGAACCCCTGTGGGGTTTATCTCGTAATCTCTCATTTCCATCACAGGACATGGTACAGAGATTATTGCTGCTCAATGTTCCTTTGAAATAAACTTGAACATTTACAGACCACTCCCTGGTGTTCGAAGCACTATTTAAGCTCTTTCCCGGCATCACGTCTCATTATCTTCACAATAATCCTAAGAGATCAGTGGTACCCACTTTACAGATAAGGAAAATTATCCCCATTTTATAGATAAGGAAAATGAGGCTCAGTGATTAACAAACCCAAACTTAAATAGCTAGTGAGTACAGAAGCCCATTTTATTACAAAAGACTTAGTACTTTTTTCTATGTTGTCTGATAAACCTTCTTCTCATTCAGAGAGATTATTTGAGGCCTGAATGATTTAATGTTTATAAAAATCACATTTATCCTTCTTTGATTTGGAGCTGGCCATATCAGTAAAGTATACTTATAAGAGCCTATCTCCCCATATAGAATTTCCTTTTAGGATAAGACTTAAGATGACTTGTAGCAGTGGTTCTCAAAGTGTGGTCCCTGGACCAGCAGCATTAGCACCCTCTGGGAACTTGTTAAAAGGCTAATTATCAGGCTCCAACTCAGACCAACTGAACCAGAAACTGAGAACGGGGCCCAGCAATCTGTGTTTTAACAAGTCCTCTAGGTGATTCTGATGTACACTCAAGTTTGAGAATCATGAAGTTAGAGGCATTTAACCATGAAGTTGCCCAAAGCAGTTAAAACGAACAAAGACTGTGCTAGCTCTCTCAGTGATTCTGCCATCTGCTGGTGCTGACGGTCACAGTAAAATAAATAACACAGCAGTACATTTTGTCCCAAAGTGTATGTTCATCTTGTGTTTCATTAGAGCAAACATAAGCTAAGGCATTTAAAATGTCAGCAAGATCAGATTGTGGTGGGAGTGATGAGGGATGAGAGGTGTTCCTTTAAATAGTAAAAGAAGACACAAAATAGCACAGAAAAAATGGCTTCCAAAGATGTTTCAGTTTCTGGAAGGGATCAGAGGGTTGGGGGTTGTAGGCTTTCAATTAATTACCAAAAGCAGATCACAGAGGCCTGAGGCCACCACCCCCCACCCCGGCTAAGGATTTCAGGTCAAGTTCACACTGACTTTCTCCGTTTTCACTCCCTCCCCACTTCTCCTGCACCAATGGATTGTGTTGACAACACAGGTTTGCAGGAAACACAAAGGTTCCGTGACTCCCTGCTCAGCAACTTTTTGTTTTCTTCCTCTTGGACAGATTCCCAGTTATCAAATGCAGTGCTCTCAGGGGAAGTGGGCTGGTCTAGGAGCGATAAGGGGCCAATTCCCACAGAGACGTCATTTCATGGGCAAGCTGCCACAGCCCCTAGATGAGAATAAGCAGTGACGGATGTCCAGCCTCATGGTAAACAGCCGCTGCATGGTCACCTGGGAGAAGATGTAGAGATGGAGGTGACTCCTGGTTGGCCATGTGTAGGGTCCTGTGCATTTCCTTACCTTCCCCTTGAGTCTTGGGAACAGCAGCTCGCTGCCTCTGAAAGGCCTGGAGGTTCACGACGGTAGGTCTTGAAGGCTTTTGGGGAGGAGGACCCAGGGAGTTGATGGAGGGCAGTGGCTTCATTTTGGGAAGGTGGTGATGTCTGACATCTGACTGTTTCTCTGAACACAGACAGTAAAAAAAGTAGGTTATGATTATTTTCATGTCATAGCTTGTTGGGTAAAACTGGTTCTTTGCCTCCATCTCAGTCCTGTCCAATCTATTCTCCACCCAACAGCTAGAGTGCCCCGATCAATATATAAACCTGATCAGTTGCCATGCTGCTGCTTTAAGGATTTCCTCAGCATGAAATCGGTCACTCCATCTTTGCCATTTCTACACCACAAGGCACCCATCTGTGTTTCTAGATTCTTTGTTTGGCATATTATATGTCTTGCTTCCCACAACTTAAAGCCCAAAAATTTTTCACACGTATCACTGGCTTCTCCATTCTCCAGATTTGATTTAGATAGCCTTAAAAAGCTCTCATATATCCAAAATTCTGTTCATGTTTTTCTTGGTTCTGGAACACTATTCCCTTTTTTGACAAACTTCAATTCATTCTTTTTAGGCTCTGCTCCAATGACACCTCCTCTAGAAAGCTTTTCTTGATTTCTCACAGGAATGAAGGCCGGAATCAACCTCTGATTTGTATCCCCGTAGCACATTGTTAATACCACTGCATCAATATCATGGCACATTGGAGGTACTGATCTATGTTCCCATTAAACGTGGGCTTCTGTGGGTGGAGATGGTGTTGTATTGATCCCCCAGCGCCAAGCACAGGGCCTACCTCATAGGAGAGAGGCTGTGACTACTGAAAGGATTCTTCAAGCACTTATGACATGCAAATAATACTGGCTCTACAAAGAGGAATAAGAATTGATCTGGGATTTCCAGGGCTCACAGCCTAGGACTGGCTTCAAGACTGACTTTATGATATCTGGGCACCTGTGTCTTGGAATTTTCCAGGAAAGTTCCAATTTTATATATATTTGTCATCTGCAGTCTTAAATCCAACTCCAACAGAAAGTCCAATATTATATATGAAAATCATATCTGCCCTTTACACTGAAAATAGCACAAAATCTTATGTAATCCAACTGCTTTGATTTTTGACTTATGTAAGACAGTAGTTGACTACATGGGCCATCCATGCAAAAACTTAAGAAGTGGCCTAGCATTTTGCATATACCCCTGGGAGACTTCCTATGCTCTCCTCCACAAGCTGGAAGGGAGGGAAAGCTTCCTTATTGCTTCACCCACAGCGGGTTACATCCCCAGAAACTCAGGCCCAAAGTTCCTTTCTTCCTAGGCTTTAATTACAAGTAGCGTTGTCAAAAACTTCAGTCATTATCAAATTAGGAAGAAGACATAGTGAATATTAATTATCACTTACTAATTGGGCTTGGAGTTTTTACCAGGCACTGTGCTAAGTAGTTTACATCCGTTATCTCATTTAACTATCTCAATAGCTCCATCTGGTAGATAATACATTCTTCTTTCCTTTCTCTTGTCCGTCCTTCTTCCCATACATCTTTCTTCCCATCTGTCTTTTCTTCTTCCTCATCCCTTCATCAATAACTATTTATTTACTATATTCCAGGTAGTGTTCTAGGAAGTAGGGATAGAGTTGAGAAAAAGAACTTGTATAATCCTACCTTCAAGAATTTTTATTCTAATAACAAGAGACTGATGATAAACAAGTAAACAAATAAACAAGATCATTACAGAGATCCATTAGTTCTATGAAGGAAATAAGGTAGGATGACAAGTGTGAACTGTTGATCATGAGGCAGTGTACTTTACATAGAGAGGTTAGAGAAAGCTAACCTTGGAAAGTTGTTTTTGGAACTTAGGCCTAAATGCAGCTACAAAATCTTAAAGAAAAGAGTTTTTGAGGAAGAGGGAACGGCAAGTGCAAAGGGCCCGAGGCTTGACAAAGCCTATTTAAGGAACAGCAAGAAATCTAGTGTGTTGACTATGGGCAGAGAGCTAGGGGAGGAGAGGTAGGAGATAAGTCAGACACAAAACAGGGACCAGCATGCAGAGCCATGAAGACCACAAAGCAAGTAGTTTAGATTCTATTCCAAGTACAAACAGAAACCATACAAGGTTGTAAGGAGATTCATCCATCCACCCTTCCATCCACTTAATCATTCAACACATTTTTTTTTTAGGACTCATTCAATCTGGCCTTTTTCTTCTAGGTGCTAGGGATTTGGTAGTAAAAAAAAGACAGTCCTTATCTTTTTTTTTTTTTTTTTTTTTTGACAGAATCTTGCTCTGTTACCCAGGCTGAAGTGAAGTGGTACAATTTTGGCTCACTACAACCTCTGCCTCCCAGGTTCAAGCAATTCTGGTGTCTCAGCTTCCCGAGTAGCTGGGATTACAGGCACAGGCCACTATGCCCAGCTAATTTTTGTATTTTTAATAGAGACAGAATTTTGCCATGTTAGCCAGGCTAGTCTTGAACTCCTGACCTCAAGTAATCTGCCCACCTTGGCCTCCCAAAATGTTCGGATTACAGGCGTAAGCCACTGTGCCCAACCAGTCTTTATCCTTTTATAACTTACATAATACTGAGGTGAACCAAGTGCTTGGTGGCAAAACCAAGAGTTTGCTGATAGATTCAGTGTGTAGAATGAGGGAAGAGAAGGGAAATAGAGTATGGGTCCTAAGTTTTGGCCTGAGAAATTAGGAGGATAGTTGTGTTGTTTACCAAGACAGACGATTGGTGACAGATTTGAGTTATAAGAGAGCACTCAGGCTCTAAGAATCAATATAGATTGCCTAAATTCATGCAACTTGTAGGAAGTCGAGCTAGGATTCAAATCCAAGTTTTTCCAAAAGCTATCTCACAAAGCAATTCCAGGAGATTAAGCACTTTACTCAAACCCAAGATTACAGTTTAGCAAATGGGCCTAGAATATCATGCTGAAAGTCTGGAGCAACATTGCCCAGGTCATATACATAACCACTCTGAGTCAACAGGTTTTAAAATAGAAAAACATGATGACCCCTCCTAGCCCCTGTCCCATGGGGATCACATTTGTTACCTGGGGCCTGGCTGGCAAGCTCACACTCATAGATGGGCTGGTAGGTGCTGCTTGCTGGGCTCTTCTCAGGACGTGGGTTTTCCCAGCTCTTCCTGATATGATGAGAAATTACAAAAGAGGGATCTTCAGAGACATTAAGTAATATTTTGGGGGCCACCAAGTGCTTCTGGGAAGGAAGAGTCTGGGCTCCTTTTGTTTCCAGCTTTTTCCTGGGTTCCTCTGGAGTAAGCCCCATGCCTTTTTGCCCTTCCAGATGGAAGGCCTTACTTCCACAGTTGGCAAGGAGAAGGACTGATGACATTTCACTTTTCTGAGATGAAACCTTCTCCCAGTTCCAGAGTTTGTTTCTGAAGCTATTGGCCACCATTACTTTCTCCTTAGTGATTATCTCAACATTTGACTGAGTCACCTCTAACAGCAGAGAAGTGTTCTGTGAACTTGCTGCAGAACATACAGTGGACTTTCCCAGAGGCCCTGGGGAGCTAGAACATTTTGGAATTTCAGTCTTTTGAGCCAACTTTATTTTCTGAGGTTGAAGAGGCCGGGACTCACTACTGGAACAGTGTGGTGGGTGCTGCTTGTGGTTGGATGAGAGGGGTTTCCCATTGGCCAAAATTTGAGTTGACTGTTTGCCTCCAATGTCACTGTTTGGAGAAACTCCTGCTGGGAGTTTAATAGGTCCTGGAAGAGGTGGAGCATCAAGATTTTGAAATTTGGCTCGAAGTTCCTTGAAGCTTCTTACCCCTTCCTAAAGCAAAGAATAATCAAACAAACAACAAAAATAAACAACAACAACAAAAACAAGTGTCTCATTATTCCAAGAAAAAAAGCCAGTGTGATTAGATCTCACTGATCTCACCATGTTAAGGGACTCTAACTGCTGATACAATGCAACTGCTTCTGGGCAATGTTAGCCAGCAATGCTATTGTCTATATGAGATAGAATGAAAACACTATCTCTCTTTTAAACACTCAAGGGATGTTTAATTTTATCACAGCATATAAAGAACACCTATAGATAGTATTAAAAACAGTGGAGAAACCCCTTGATACAAACTTTTGATGGCTCCCCACTGCCTATAAAAATAAATTCCAAACTGCTTTATACAGAATTGAAGGTTCTTCACAATGCAGTCCCAACTAGCTCAAAAGATGGTGGAATTATGCTCTCCAACCACAGCCAAACACAACTACCCTTAAACTAAACAGAACTGTTTACAATTTTCTTAGACCCTCCTACTCTCTATCACCTGGAGTTTGCTTTGTGTTCTTGCTTCACAAAATGTATCCCCATCAGCTTGTCAACACCTTTCTTGCACTTCACTGCCTACTAATCCATCAATATTTCACCTGGGGAACTTAGTTCAATATGCAAAAAAACTCCATTAAAAAATGGACAAAGGACATGAACAGAAAGTCAACTACTGCATGTTCTCACTTACAAGTAGGAGCTAAACACTGCGTATATACAGGGACATAAAGATGAAACAAAAGGCCCTGGAGATTATGAGAGGGTGAAGGGACGAAGGCGGAGAAAGGTTGAAAAATTACGTATTGGGTACTGTGATCACTACCTAGGTGATGGAATCAATCATTCATACACTAAACCTCAGTGACACACAATTTACCCATGTAGCAAACATGTGCCTTTACTTCCTGAACCTAAAATGAAAGTTGAAAAAAATAATAATAATAAAATAAAGCTTTCACCTGTGGATGACAGACACAGCTAACTTCTTTCCTGTCTCCTTGGTACTTCCTTAGCTTTTTATATCTTGGCTGTTGAACTTAACACTATGGTATGGAGAAAAGAACAAACTTTGGAAATAGACATATGTTCATATGAAGACTCCACTCTTTATCCTCTATGGAAATACTCTGGGGAACTTGATCTTCTTCCCTCTAAGTGCCTCATAAAAATAAGTTATCAAACAGTAGCAGGATTAGGGCCATTATAAGTGAAATGTCCATTACAGTGCCTGACACATAGTAGGCCCATGATAAATAAAAGTTCTTTATAAGAGGCTAGATGACCCTCTTGCATTTTTAACTCCCCTTGGAAAATGATCATGCTCTTCCCTCTAAATTCAGCTCCAATGTGGTATATGAAAATAACGGTAGTAATGGGAGCCCAACCTTGGTGGCAGAGGAAGGAGCATGACTGGGTTTATACAGTGAATTGATTGGCTGTCTGGCCAGGTAGGTGTAGGCTTAACTCCTGCTCCATGCTCTTCCTGCTGGTTCTTCTTCCTCCCACTAGACCGCATTAGATTTTGTAAATGTGTTCTGTCATCTTTTGCTTTCATAGGAAGTAGGATAATGTCTAATGGAGCCACTGCAAAAAGTAAGAGCCACTGTCCTCTCCTGATCTTCTTAAAGGTTTTTAATTTCATGTACACAGACCATGTCCATGGCAGGGACTTCTGATTTTGCTAGCTTAGGAAATGCTGGGCAACCTTTTCTCTCTATATTTACAGTTGACTCACACCTGCCTTCTGAAGATTTTGGAAGGGAGAGAAATTGAACAACAAGCATGAAGCAAGTGTCTCGGAGCTTAAGTACATGCACTCTCCCTCCTTTTTCATATCTCTTTTCTCTATCTCTGTAACACACACATACATGCACATGCATACACACACACACACAGCCAGCAGGCAAGTTAATTCAACCATACTTTCTCTCCCCTGACGTGGCAGAAGCCAGCACTGGGCGTGAAATCAGGAGATCTGAGTGTGAAACTCTGCTTATCCATTTTCCACTTATGTGCCTTGGGCAATTCACTTCACTTTGTTGAGCCTTATTTTCCTCACTAAAAAATGAAACTTATATTTCTGACAGCAGTTCGGGGTTAATGTAAGACTCAAATGAGATAACAGACATACACACCTCAGTGATAAATATTTTTATATTGTGGTAAAATACACACAAAACGTGTCATCTTAACCATCTCTAAGTGTACAGTTTGGCAGTGTTATGTAGATTCACACTGTTGTGCAACCAATCTCCAGAACTCTTTTCATCTTGCAAAAATAAAACTCCATATCCATTTAAAAAGTCCATATTCTGTCCTCTCATTCTACACTCTGTCTCTGAATTTGACTATTCTAGGTACTGTATAAGAGGAATCATAGAGTATTTGTCTTTTTATAACTGTCTTATTTCACTTATTAAATGGCCTCAAGGTTTAGCCATGTTGAAGCATGTGTTAGAATTTCCTTCCTTTTTAAGGCTAAATTACTGTATAAGAGGAATCATAGAGTATTTGTCTTTTTATAACTGTCTTATTTCACTTATTAAATGGCCTCAAGGTTTAGCCATGTTGAAGCATGTGTTAGAATTTCCTTCCTTTTTAAGGCTAAATAATGTATCATAGTGTATATATAACACATCCTGTTTATCCATTCATCCATCAATGGAGAGTTGGGTGGCTTCCATATCTTAGCTATTATGAATGATGCTTCTATAAACATAGGTGTACAGATACCTCATTGAGACCCTATGTTCAGTCCTTTTGGGTATGTTCCCAGAAGTGAAATTGCTGGATTATATGATAATTCTACTTTTAATTTTTGAGGAACCTCCCTTCTGTTTTCCATAGCAACTGCACCATTTTACATTCTCACCAACAGTGTACAGGGGTTCCAATGTCTCCACATCTTCACCAACACTTTTTTCTTTTACAATAGCCATCCTAATGGTTATGAGTTTGTCAGTGGTTAATATTTTTAAAGTAATATAATGATTATTTTCAGTTCTTCACTATTTGAAGCCACATGGAGAACTACTGTACAATGTTATTGCTTAGATTTTAGTCTCTGTAGGATTAATTAAGCAAAGCCCTACTATGAAATAGAATTACGGATTTGATAACCTCCAAACCAAGGTCCTGTGCAAAGATCACTGGTTCAGCGGGGAGCAAACCTGATTATACCTGGCTCTCTACTCTTTCAACACATGTTCATTAAGTATCTACGTGCAGACCAAACATTGTTTTAGACAGTCAAGGGCTCTGTTCTAATGTCAAGGAGAGACAGAAAATAAGCAATTACACAAGAAAATATGAGAGACAGAGTGCTATGTGGAGAATTAAGCAGATGATGCAATGGTGACTCAGTGCCTACCACTGATTTTCAGAGCTACAGAGAAAAGTAATTTCTTTTCTCTAGCTCAGCCATACATCAAATTAGAGGTTGGACTGGGTGATCTCCAAAGCCTCTTTCGGCACTAATATTTAGATTTTATTTTCCTTACAATCGATGGGAAATAGATGTGATGCATTTTGTTTTGTATTATCCATCACCAATAGGTGGAAGTTGAGTTTTGAGGACATGAGGAAAACTGCATGAAGATGGTTTGGGAAGTGGCCATAGGGTCCTTCTGGTTAAAACCATGCTCCATTTTTCAGCTGCCACAGCTAGTCAGTCCCCAAATCCCACTGATCTGAACTCTTAAGCAGCCCATGAGCCCCTCCCTTCAATTCTTTCTCACTTACTGTTGGAATGACTTCTTCATGGTCTCTCTGCTTCAATTCTGAGCCCCTCTAATCCACCATTTACTCAGCTGTTAGACAAACCTCTTTAAAAACAAATCTGGTCATGTAAGTCCCTTACATGTTTTAAAACCTTCAATTTAGCATCCCCAAAGCTTTCAAATAAGCTCAAATTCTTTTGCTTAGCACATAAGAGCCATCCTAATCCTGACCCTCTTAATGCTCCAGCATCACATTGGGCCTCCCCCCAACATGTTTTCTTCCTTCTAGCCTCACCAAATTGCTGACATTCTCCCAAACCTGTTTTGCCCTTTCACGTAGCTGTAACTTTGAATGTGCTGCCTGCAATGCTCATCTTTCTCTCTAATTTCTTGAACTAGCAAATTCCTGCTCCTTCAAAATTTAACTCGTGTCATCTCAAAATATTTATTGGTTGCCTACTATGCACTAGGCACTAGGGTTACAAAGATGAATGAGGCAACCCTGACCTTTCAGAACTCAGAAAATGAAGGAGACAGACACAAATTGGTTGTTTTAACATAATACAGAGAATTGTGAGATGTATGGCAGAAAGTCTGTGGAGGGAACATAGAAAAGGGGCTTGTGATGCAAACCTGGTTGCCAAGCAGATTTCCTACAGGGGATTCCCCAGCTTAAACAGCCAAGCAAAGAATAGAGGAAGGCAGTCCGGAGAATGAACACAGAAGGCACAACCTTGGAAACAGCATGATGTACATGGGAAGCAGCAGCAATTTCACATAAATGAAGCACCAGTGCGCAGTATATGAGACTGGAGAAGAAAGGAGAGGCCAAGTCTTAATGTCATCGGGCTTAATCTTCATAGTGGGCGAGGAACTACTGATAGGTTTCCTGGTGAGCAGCTAAAGGCAATTTTTAACTGATTCCTCTTTCATGACCACTCTAGGTAAGGCAGCATCTCTCCTTCACTCTTTACCTACCTTACCCTGGGTATACACTGGCTCATCCAACCCTTTCTAGTGAGCCTTCCCCTAGCACAGAGCCTGGGAAGCTTGGAACTACCACGCCCAGGCACTGTTTCATCTGGAAATTTGCCCAACAGAGGTGTCCATAGCTTGGTAAATGAGCCCCTGAGGGTGTGGCCGCTCAGGGGATAGCATGTGCTTTGGGGAGCAGCTGTGGCAGAGGTTCCTGTGCTATGCGGTGGGTAGCAGCACTGATGGGTTCACATAGGAACTGCCCCATTCCCTTAGCTCTAGCATATAAGCTTCTTGCCAGTT